ATCTGAGACCTGTATTGACCTGTTGATGAAAAACAGAATGATAGGGGACCTTTAATTTGACTCACCTCTGTGCCGGATGTATTTCCTTTTTACTTCAAAGCTTCTTTTGAGGCTTTTAAATGAAGCTTTGACATTTTTTTGTATTAAATGAACTTTCTTTATTGAATATAACTCGTCATTGTGCGTCTCTCTCTGTGTGCCACAAGCAGGGAAGAAAGCACTTTTTCATCTCATAAAAAATGTTTATTTGGGCAATAAATAGACATGCCAAATAATACATTCAAAAGGTTTCACAGCCTTCGAAGGCGGATGCAGAATTTGACGTTATGAATGAAGTGTATTATTCGACACAGCCCAAACATTTTAATGTGTAATTGATCTCCTAACAAGATATTTCAAGGCCTTTTACAAATGTATTTATATTGCTATTCACCTTCACATGCGTATTATGTGTGCTTGCGGTTCAGGCTTTATCAATCTTTACTTGCCAAAGCTTTTAAATGAACTGTTATTAAGTTATAATACTTTATCAGGTGATAAACTCATTCAGATTACCACCACATGATTACTTCATCAAAAAACTGTATATTTAAGAATGTACAACAAGTGTTTGGAGTTGTGAGGAGCGCGTCAACAATGCATGCATGAGCGGTTAAACCTTAGGCGGGGAAAAGGGGCGGGGCTTCATGAGGTGAAGAGTGTTTGTACGCTGATAACCTTCTGGAAATATAAGAATCAACGCAAGAAACCAGGAAAATCTGAATGAAAACTGTTTCAACTCGTGCTTCCTTCATTGTTCTCTCGCTGTGCTTCGTCTGCTAGAACGAGTCGTGCTTCCGGCAGGACTTCCTGCTGAAGTACAAGAACCGCACGGAGCAGGACGAGATCGAGACCCGGGAGAACCTGAACCGCCTGCTGCTGGAGAACGTGCTGCCGGCACACGTCGCTGCGCTGTTCGTCGGCGAGAACAAGAAGAACGAGGTGAGGGGGGAGGATGGTGTTATGGGGAATATATGATAAGCAATGAATGAGTAACCAGTCAATTACAATTCATGTTATATTTTGATTAGTTGCCCACTCAATAACCACGATGTATCAGCAGCAATTTACCTCGGTGGGCTGAGTGACATTTAAACAGAAATCTGATATTCCTCACTTCTTCTTTAGGCAATAACTGATTAATGTGTAGTTCAGTATACATTTGATGTTTTTACAAGAGGCAGATATTTTCTTAATTGATTCACCAAAGAGAAATTCATTCTGTGTTCTGCCTAGGTGTCTTGAAATGTTGTGTAACTTCTAAAATAAGTCAAAAGCTTCACTTCCTCTCAGTGTTAACTGTTAGCTTAGCTTTGATATAAATGCAGGTAACTGTAATGTCAGTCGTCTTTACTCACAGGTTCCCCTTACACAACACTGTGCACATTAGGAAAGCAACATCTTATACAACCATACAGTTATTATCACTGTGTGTGTGAGGTTCGTTTGGATTCCTTAATTCAAATGATGAACTCATTTGTTTGGGATGAATTCAAAGTATTCTTATCTTAGCCTCAAATTGTAAGTTGTCAGTACTTCTTCTAGAATAAGTTAAGCGAGGTTTGTATAAAAAAAACTTTAATTGAAGACATTCCCAGCCTCCCCCGTGGGGAATGCAAATAAAAACACATTTTTTTTAAGCATAATATACTTTACATCAAGTATAAGGAGAGGTATATATAAACTGTAAATAGTCCTTATGTTATCACATGTATCAGCAGTTAAGAGAGGCCTGTCTTAAAAGTTACATCTAAGCCTCACATTCTGAATCGTGGATAAAGAAAATAAGCCTGTTGTTCACTTAGATGTTTGTTCTTGCCACAAGTTCTTCATCGGTAATAACAATATTCTTGTGATAGTACAAATATGAACTGTGCTTTTTGTATGTTTCCCCCGACAGGACCTCTACTATAAGTCCTATGACTGCGTGTGTGTGATGTTCGCCTCGGTGCCGGATTTCAAAGAGTTTTACACCGAGTGCGACATCAACAAAGAAGGCCTGGAGTGCCTGAGGCTGCTCAACGAGATCATCGCTGACTTCGATGAGGTCAGGAGCCGCAAACATATCCATCTCCCTTTACCCTCTGTGACACAGTTTGTTAGTTTATAGTGTCGTGGACAGTCCCCATTGATCAACTGTCACAAACAACAGTAAATGGGGAAGCTTTAGCCGACATGGCTAATTTCCAGCTGTTGTCCCCGGCCAGATGATAACAGACACCTTTTTGAAATCACAATGCATCAACAGCATTAGTTATAAAGAAAGGATGAAGGACACGTAGATACAGGCGAAAGGATAGACTACAGGCTTCACGTGGTGTGATGTGTTTGAATGCAGCGGTGCTGTTGTTTAAACTGTGAGAGGCTGGTCTGAGCCCCGGCTTCATTTAGCCCCTTACACACACCACTAAAGTTGATGGTCTCTTCGTGCTCCAGATCGTTTGATTTGTAGTTTTTGATGAGTATTAACTAACCAAAGTCACACAGCAGCCCAAACACACTCACATCCCTCTTCATGCTTTCCGCCACCAGCTGCTGTCCAAGCCCAAGTTCAGCAGTTCCATCCATCTTCCTTTACACTCTGTGATACAGGGATGGTTTGAATGCCCTAATCTGATATCGTAACTCTGCCTATACACGTACAGTGTTACAAGGGGGGTTTCAAGTGTAGTTGTATGATGTACTTATCCGTAGTCAGTGTCTTACCTACAGTAGATGTAAATGCAAGCTAAGCAATGTGATGCTTTGAACTGGGCAGCAGCAAAATGTATTATAACCATACTTGTCAACCCTCCCGATTTTCGCAGGAGACTCCCGATTTCATTGCCCTCTCCCGGTTTCCTCCCGGGGTCATTTCTGACAAAATCAGATTTACTCAGGACTGTTTCCACTCGGACTTTAATACAGCTACACCATTGTTTGGTTTCCATGGTAACACTTCTCTTTAGTAGCGCGCGCAACTGAAAGTCTGAGAGGGTGAAGCAGATAGTCACAGAAAACAGAACAAGAATCGACAACTACTCTACTCTCTGCTCACTCCTTTCTAATGTTAATCTAACAGCTCCGGCGATCCACTAGCAACCCCCCCCCCCCATTTTGCATTTTGAAATGCTCCTGATTTCTGAGGTCTCAAGGTTGGCAAGTATGATTATAGCCACGTTAAAAAGTCATTATCAGTTTGCTTTTCTTTTGTTGGTTAGTTTAGTTTTGATGAGTATTCACTAACCAGAGTCACACTACTATATTATATTTTATTTGTATTTACTTGCACTATTGTATCTGTTTTAATGTGTTGCACTGTTGGAGGTGCCTGTGACCTAAGGTTTCCATTGACATAACTACACTGTACTGTAGCTATGTATGTATGACTGATGAAAGCCTTGAAACCTTGACTGCAGCAGAAACAAACTCACATCCCTCTGTATGCTTTCCTCCACCAGCTGCTGTCCAAGCCCAAGTTCAGCGGGGTGGAGAAGATCAAGACGATCGGCAGCACGTACATGGCCGCCGCCGGGCTCAGCGGGACGCCCGGGCACGAGAACAATCAGGTAAATAAAAACCAATGAAGAACATCAAAAACGATACATCTTGAAGCGGTTATATTGAAGATGTTTGACTCTCAACAACAAAAAACAAACATATACCCAAATCATGAATGCCCAATATAAAGAAATAAACTTGAATTAACTGAAATAATGAGACTAAATAATTATATATTTGCTATAAATAAAATCCACCAACCAACTGACTTGAATAATATACATGTTACCCTGTAGACTAGTCTCTTTGGGTACCTGAAAGAATACTCTATTACTGAATACTGCTTTGGATTGTCACTAATATTTGTTATTAACAGTTATTCAAAAATCATTAGTTTAACACCATGGTCAGTCTCAAAAAAACAACGTGGAGGAGATGCTTAAACAATTAAACTTTTTTAAATTAATTAAATGAATCTCATGTCTGTTGTGGACACTATCGAGAAAGACTCCTTCATTGAACATAAACCGCTCACATCTGGGATCAGTCACAGTGTTACGGCTTAGGCAGAGGGGCTAAATACGGGAAGATAAACACTTTGAAACGCTCAAACAATTGCTCCACTCCTTCTGTTTCATTTAACCATTTATTGCAGGAAAATGGGATCAATAAAGTTCATCTTATCTGATCATATTAAGGCAGGGGTGTTCAAACTACGGCCCGGGGACCAAATGCGGCCCGCTGAACATTTTGAATCGGCCCTCAGCAAATTCAAAAAGTATAATGGAATACGGCCCACACATGAAACTTGTGCTTGTCTTATATTGTACTTCTTAACTATAAATGTAACAATATATTACACAGTAGTACTCATGTGTTAATGAGACCACTTTTCAAATAAAGTCAGTCAGTTAAAGTTGGAAACATTTTCTAAGAGTTACAGTAATGTACTACTTTTTGCTGTAACGAAGTAACGTATTGTAACGTATTACTAATGCAATGTGGGTAATGTTACAATTCTCACTAACTAATTTTAACTCTAAATTAAATGGTGTTTTATTTTTTAAGAATTTATCAACATCGCGAGACATTCAGACACCAGAGAAAAGTTGTGCGGGTAGATTAGTAAGCCTGGTGTTTACCCTTCAGGCTCATC